CCAGTCTCCAATAAAATCTGATTATTTTTATCCAGCCATGTCTGTTAGAAACATAAAATCAAGATTTTGAGGAGTAATTAGTTCATTGTTTTAAAATTATTTTCCTGACACAGATCTTTAAACAAAGATATTCCATCTGTTCTATTCGGGTCCCTTTTCACATAAGATGTTATCAATAAAGCCAATTAGGGATGGGAATCGAAAACCGGTTCCTGTTCAGAACCGGTTCCGTATTTTTCGATTCCATGGCATCGTTTGGCAGCTCGCTGAATGATTCTTTTTTCGATTCCCGCAGCACCAGAGCCGAGAGCGCCGGCTCTGGGGAGCACGACTTACGTCACGTTTTTTACGTAAGTTACGCAAGTTACGCAAGTTGGAAGAACTATTCGAGGAGGAAGACAACGTGCTGCGGTCACTTTGTGAATCAAAGCCCCGTCTTTCCTTAGCCCAGAGGGTAGATCAGGAAATCCAGCTCTATAAAAGCTTGCCCTCCATCCCCTGCAGGGATAGCGCCACACTGTGGTGGTGGAACAAGCAAGATACGCTGCCCTTGCTATCTGGACTGGCTGAAAACTACCTCTGTGTGCAGGCTTCCTCCACCCCATCTGAGAGGGTGTTCTCCACGGCTGGAGACACCATAAGCGCTGAAAGATCCCGTATCCTTCCAGAAAAAGCAGATATGCTCATCTTTCTGCAAAAGAACTGTTAATTTTCCCTACTACTGTTTTATAATTAGTATTTTTTGTTATTTAAAATAGGTTATTATCCCATCATTTGTTATTAGACATTGTTGGTTATTAAGTTTGTTCTTGTATTCATTTTTCATTTAAACACAGATGTTACTCCAGTTTCACATTTCCTGTGGACATCTTGATCTTTTTGAGTTTGTAAGATTGTGCAATAGTTAAGTAAACAAAGTTGATTCTGATAATCAAACTGTTTGTTCTCCTTTTTCCCCCAAATTGGAATCGAAAAAAGAATCGATTAAGAATCGAATCGTTTCATAGAATCGAAAAGGGAATCGGAATCGTGAAAATCTTTTCAATTCCCAACCCTAAAGCCAATTGATTTTGTAGAAAAGGCATATTTGATCAGTTTATTTCTTCTTATTTCTAGAGAGTAAACGTAATTTCATTTCCCTTGTATGTCTTGTACATATGAAGAAAGTGACAATAAAAGCTGACTTGACTTGACTTGAGGTAGAAAACTCTGAACACTTCATTTCCTGCTGAAGGTGGCGGGACAGGGCCCTTAATGTACGCTTTAAAATGAGTCTGTCTCGCAGTGTTATGAACTCTAATCATGTCTCTGCAATTTTGACTTCCTCTTAGCAACATCATTTCTATGTGAACGACCAAGTTCTTCACAATTGGATGGATCTGTGCGATTCCCATTTGAGGCTTCAGACAGGAAGCTACAGCCAACATTCAACATTTCTGCATTTTTCTAGTTGCAGAAGCATCTAATCTCATTCAAAGCATAGTCAGATACTAATGTTGTTAAATGTTGTCTTACCTTGTCTGGAAACTGGCTGTTCTCTTAACAGGTCATCCAGTAGGAAGCAAACCTGTTTAGAGGAATACCTATATTCTCACTAACCCCTTTCTTAGTTTAGGGAACAAACAGCTTTTTGCATCTGAAGAAGACATGTTTCTCTGAAGTCTTGGCCAGATTTTGTCATCTAGATTTGGCGTTAACACTTTCTGGGGTCTTTTCAGATCTGGGTCGGATTGTTTGTTCTTTGGCTTTGCTCCAAGAGTTTCCCAGTGTGAACTTTTTAAAACAAGATGCACCAGAACACATAATAGTCCACAATATTTTAATTAAAGAATTTCTTTAAAACATTTGTTAAAACATGACTTCAGACCTACTACTCTGTCCCTGGAAAGAAAACGGATCATAGGAAATAAGGGCAATTAAAAAAAAAAAAAAAAAAAAAAAAAAAAAAAAGAACAAAACATGCAATGCAAAAGGAAATAAAATAACTCAAAACAAAAGCAAACCCTTTAGTAACTTCAATAGTAAGCAAACAAAGGATAAAAGACAAAGATGCAAGCACCTCAACAGAGGAACAAATAGTCACTGTCCAAATTCATAGGCCTTTCAATGTGGCCAGAGGAGTCATGCCCCACTCGCTCAGCCTGTCCAAGCAGCAACAGGTTTTGTCGAGAGCGGCCAAAACAAACATTTGCAAAAAAAGACAGCAGAGCGTCCGAAGCGCTGCAGCTCCAAGACAACCCTAAACCAGAAAGCAGATTAGTAAACCTGTAAATTAAAATCTAAACGGGAAGCTTATCCAGGAGTTGAAACACAGCCTAACCAGGGGGAAAGTGGGCCAGCACGTTGCACCAGAGAAATGCTGCAGCAACACATGGCAGGTATAGCACCAAAGCCCAGCCACAGATGGCACTTACGATTTCACATTAGCAGATCAAGCACACCAGCCACTTAGGCAGCTGACATGTAGGTAAAACAAAGACAGATGCAACTTGTAGAGGCCTGCTCAGCTATAAGGCCACCTGTCCTGCCCACCAATCAACAGCTTGCTTCTTGCTACACTTGGTGCACAGAGTGGGCCTGGTGGAACACCATCCCACCACACCAGCTACCAGTGTGGTTATTTTCATTAGACTCGGCCTGTTTCCCAAAATTCTAAAAAAGTAAGAAAATATAAGCAAGCGGGAAGCAAGGAATAGATGTGTCTGACCGAAGCCGACCATTTGGTTAATTGTTATAAGCTATGATAAAAAGCTGGGTCTGTGCCTAACTGTACAAACTATTTTAATTTAGATTAACAATGCCTGGAAAAGTAGCTAAAGCACCAAAGATAATCAGTGAAAAGCTCGGGAATATCTACAGACAGAACATAGTTTCTCTGACTCTTGGAAAGGATTGTTTATTCAAATATTTCTGGAGATGTATTAGTGTATTTTAAACTGAAATGGAAAAAAATGTGTAATTTTTTCCACCTGGAACAATCACTTTAAAAATTAAATGGGACAAACATATGAAATTCATGTAAATGTTGTATGTAGATTCAAACCTAGGATTTCTACTACATTTTTTATCTACATGACCATATTTGTCAAAATTACACAAGACTGGATCACTTATAACTTTGACAATGCATTAATTTCTATCTTCATTAGATGAAATAATCAGGCAGACCACCATAACCTGTGCTGAGATGGGTCTGCTTCTGCTGAGAGTCAGAGACGAGAGTCAAATGACCATCCAAACCTACCAGAAGATGGTTGAAAGCAGCATTCTTTTTGGCAGCGGAAAGGCGCTACAATCTGAAATTGAAACAGTGGATTTAAATAAAAGGGTAAGGGCATCAGTATATAATTTATTACAATGAATAAAACTTTTTTTTTCTTGTTAATAAGCCGCATTTAATAATTTCAACCCTTTCTAGCTTAAACTATGTTATTGGATTTTCGTTAAAAATCCAGCAGAGAGAACTCTTTGTTTCCAGATGCAACTGATAGCTGTGGACTTCCTACTGTGTCTTTCACATTTGTAGGTTGAAGACCTAGAAAGGGAGAAACAGGATCTGCTGAAAAAAATGGATGAACAGCAAGAGGAAAATGATTTAAGGAGAAAGAGTGAAGCTCGCAGGAAGGAAGTGCTGGAAAGCAACTACAAAGAAGAAATCAGGGTTTTGAAGAGAACCATACAACAGTTAAAGGTGACAAAGTGTATATATATACACATACACACATTTTTGTGACATGTAGGATTTCCAAACATTTATAGAAATACATTTTGATTGCAGATGCTACTGGAAGGAAGCAAAGCTCTAGAGGATTGAAGCGTAACAAGGAGGAAGGCAGACTCAACAAGTTTGTCAAATGAACAAGTCTCAAAAAATTCTGCATTTTATTTTTAGAGCATCACAAATATATTTCAAGCAGTTAACATGGCCACATTGATGTTTAGGATTTAGTTTTTGCCTGTTTCTTTTCAATAGAATGTAGCCAATTTGGCTGATTTATAAACCTATTTAATGTTTGTTATCTGTCAGTCTAGTCCTTTGATCTTTTAGCTCCACGGCTTTCTGTAGTTTGAGGTGGAGCCTTTCTGTTCTTGTTCTTGTTTTTCCACATTGTGTGTATCACCAAATGTACTAGAGTCAGAGAGCTGGACTGTTTATACTGTTTAATCACTAAACTAATAAAAAGGTGCAAAAGTTTGTGGTTATGATTTAAAATCTGAAACCGTTTATGTGGCACAAATCATTTAGAAAATAACCCCCTCCTCATTTGCATAATGAGACAGAAATGCATACAGAAATGTATATACAACAGGCAGAAATGTAAAAAGGGCAGACAGAAATAAACAGCGGCGAAGAAATAACTAAGGTAAAAAAATACAAAGGAAGAATAAAACAGAAAAAAATATTATAACATGCACATAAATAAATACTTAAGTATAAGTAATTAAATAATTAAGTTGAAGATTGTAAAGGACAAAAAAATAAGGTAAATATTACAAAGGCAAATAAATAAAGAAGCTAATTAAAAGAGTTATATACATTTATGTCTCACTGTATAATTTATTTTCTACTTACATTTATTTGTTTATTGTATTTTTGTTGGCAATTAATTGTATGCTTACATATTTATTGAGCATTTATTTATTTCTGTATTTATTTTTAAATATGGCAGAGTTGGTCCTCCATAGTTAAGGGTGATAATAAATGTTGTATATAATGTTCCTCTGATTTGTCATACTTTAAGCTATTATGGTGTTAAAAGAAATATCGGGGGATTTTAAACCTGCTGCGGAGAACATTTTCATCAGAGACAGACTGCAAAACGTTCGACTAGTATATCGTAAAACCGTATTTATTGTAAATAATCTTCGAAATAAAATCCACCGTTTTAGGGCTTATATGGTTAAGAATCGTGATAATGTAAAGAATATCTTTAAAAGTTTCCTCTTCGGTCAGATTTGAGTCAGTTTTCTCATCAATATGCGAGAGTTTAGAGCGACGCGCGCTCCCGCGAGAGGGGATGCAATTCTCGGCAGGCATGCATTTCTCGGCATAACACCTGCCCACTGCTAGTTGCCCGAGCTGTTTGAACTAACTGGTGAATACAAGCAAAGGTTGCATACTTGTCTGGCCTTTCGGGTTGTTCCTCCACCTTCACCTGTCCGGTGTTGATTCTGTCATGGCTCAGGAAAATTTGTCCGTGGTGTTGCAAGCTAAAGGAGACCTCAGGCTGGTAAGAAAGCGAACACAAACTTTAACGAAAAAGAAAAAAAAAAAGCAAAGTAAACTGCAGCTTATTGTTTCTTCAATAGGAAAATCGTCCAGTTCCAGAGCCAGGACCTAATGGTAAACAAAGAGCAATTATTCTCAGGTGGTGTCAGTTAATGCACATTACTGTGAAGATTTAGAATATGAATGTAAATAAAAAGCATTAGGAGAACTGGTTTTGTCACAAATAATGCATCTCGTTGTCATTCGTGTCTTGTTGGTGTTTAGAAGTGCTGCTTCAGATGCACTCAGTGGGAATCTGTGGATCAGATGTCCACTACTGGCAGCATGGCCGAATCGGGGACTTTGTTCTCCAGGAACCCATGGTACTGGGGCACGAGGCTGCAGGGAGGGTGGTGAAGGTCGGATCAGCGGTCACACACCTTAAACCAGGTAAACCTGAATGCATGTTGGTCAGAATTGTCTTTATAATCACAGAAAAGTTTTATTTTACTTTATGCATGCTTTTAAAGAAAGGCATGAACCTCCCTCTGAACATTCAACTTTTACTCCTTTTAAAACATCTTTATCTTTTGCAGTACTCTACTCAGTTTCCATATCTGTTGTTACATAAGCAGTACAATTGTAATTTTCCAGGTGACAGAGTGGCCATTGAGCCTGGGGTACCCCGAGAGATGGATGAGTTTTTTAAAAGAGGAAAATATAACCTGTCCCCCACCATCTTCTTCTGCGCCACACCGCCAGATGATGGAAACTTGTGCAGATATTACACCCACAACGCCAATTTTTGCTACAAGTACCTGTTTATTCAATGCTGCAAAGCATTGCATCAGACCTTACTTCATAACTAACTGCTAGCTGACTCTCTTGCCTAATCTCTGCATATACCCCCTGTCTTATCTCTTTCTGTGTGTCTGCATAGGTTGCCTGATAGTGTCTCATTCGAGGAGGGTGCACTCATCGAGCCACTCTCTGTGGGAATTCATGCCTGTCGCCGGGCTGGGGTCAGCCTTGGCAGTACCGTACTCATCTGTGGTGCAGGTAAAAACCGAGCAAGAGCCATTTAGCTCACTAAAGTTGTCTAGTAAAATTCCACCATGGAGAAATTTCAGTGGAATGCAAGAGCTGTGTATACAGATGGTCCTAACAGGCCTTTTCAGGTTAGGAATCGTATGGCCACACCCATGAGACACAACAAAAGATAGAACAAGTAAAAATTTATCATAATGAAAATCCCAATTCATTTTCTTCTTGATTTGAACTGGAACTTGATTGTAAATATGCAACAAACTATTTACATAACTACTTTTCCTTCACTATTGGGCATTAAATCAGACTAAACCTTTATTTTCTTTTTGAGATAATTTATCTTAGCCTTAGTAACTGGTAGAATAAGGTCAAATTTTGTGGGTATTTGCAGAAATTCTCCGTCATCCAGGTCATGGCAACTACAAAATAGCCTTAAATTGGAAGGCAACCTGACTTACTCTAACTTTTTCTGTACACCTATCCAGGACAATTGCTCTTAATGTTTAAAAAAAGACTGAGCTAAACCAATTGAACCCTGTTTTGTGGTTTTGGGTATCCTTAAACAAGCTTCTCCTAAAAGATTATTTTAAATAAGGCTTATGTCTCCTGATGTACCTAGTTGGGAGTTGTGTTATGATCACACTGCCTTTGTCGAGTTTATTCTTTTCAAATTAATTAGTCTGTGTTTCACATCATTGTTCATTTAAAATAACCACAATGACTCCAAGCTTTAACTTTCCACCTGGTGTCTTTAGAAGTTACGTTACTATTATTATTATTGTTTCCACATGCTGTTTTTCCGCTCATGCTGACTATTCTTTGAAGTTTGAAATTTTCTTCCTGATATCATGGCTGATTTCTTTTGATTTTTACCAAGATGCCAAAGAACGACAACATTGGGTTTTGTCTTAAAATGCAACCACAAGGTTTCATTTATTTAAAAAAATTTTAACAACCCATCAAATAGCTTGTAGAATAATGACATCCTCATTTGTGCTTTCCAAAACTGTTTAAAGGTAGCTATCTTAGTTTATGTAAGTCTCTTATTTTGTAGAGATTATTAATTAAAAAAATTAGTCTAATTATTTTGATGTTGGTATAAAAAGTTTTCTCTGATTTCATATGTCAATAGAATAAAAAAAATCGTGGAAAAACAGAATTTAAATGACCCGGTTTCAATTGTTCTAAGTTTTATCTTGTGAACTAAAGCTTAAGAAGACATGTTTTAACCCCAGAAAATAGTAAGTTTATTTACATTATTAATGTGTCTCCTTTCCTATAGGACCCATTGGATTGGTTAGCTTGCTTGTAGCCAAGGCAATGGGGGCTTCAATAGTCATCATCACTGGTAAGAACAACCCAAAACAACTTGATCAATTTAATAAAAAAAAAAAAAAAAAAAAAAAAAAAAATATATATATATATATATATATATATATATATATATATATATATATATATATATATATATATATATATATATATATATATATATATAATTCCACATCCGCTGCTGTCTTTAGATTTGTTCACAGAGCGCCTGGAGATGGCCAAGGAACTAGGTGCAGACTTCCAGCTGACAGTGAAAAAAGATGACGGACCCCAGGAGCTGGCAAAGAAAGTGGAGGAAATCCTGGGAGCTCAGCCTGAGATCACCATTGAATGCACTGGAGTGGAGAGCTGCATTCAAACTGCCCTTTATGTAAATCCCCTGTTAAATCATAAATTATAACAACAATCACACATTAAGAAAGAGCAGAAATATAGTGCTAGCTTGCTTCGCGCTGTCTGATACAGCAGAATGGATAAAATATCATTTGACTTGCTTGTGTTGTGCAAGTCTTATTTTAGTAAATTATTTTATTAGAGGTTAAGGCCTTTCTATAAACAAAATGTGCTATATTGATGTCTCCAATCTATTACTTTTTATTGCCTGTTTTTCTGTGATTTAGGTTAAGTTATAAATAAAAAAAAAAAAGCATGACATCCTTACAATAACTAAAGTTTTAACTGCCTCTCAGGCAACGCGCTCAGGAGGTGTAGTGGTGCTGGTGGGCCTTGGTGCTCCGATGACTACCGTTCCTCTCGTCAACGCTGCTGTAAGAGAAGTGGACATCAGAGGAGTGTTTCGCTACTGCAACACGTGAGGAAATACTTCTGTTTAGCCCAGATGATAATGGTTCAAGCATATTACTTGAATTACATGACAATGTTTTGTATCACATAGAATCTGACAAAACATTCGTTTGGTTTGTTGCAGCTGGCCGATGGCTATCGCTATGTTGTCATCCGGTAAAGTAAATGTGAAGCCTCTTGTGACCCACCGCTTTCCACTGGAGCAGGCTGTGCAGGCATTTGAGACCACGCGACAGGGTCTTGGGATAAAGGTCATGTTAAAGTGTGATAAAAATGACCAGAACCCATGAATCTATCCTCTGTAGTGAAGCCAAACAGATCTGCTGAGATGGACACTGCGTGACAGTCACAGAGTGGACTCTGGCCTCAGAAAGATAACAAACACAAGTTCAAAAGAAAACACTCTAATCGGAGCTTTGTAAAAGACACCTGGAAGCAGTTTATCAGACTTTTATCTTCTGATGGCACTGTTTAATTCTTTCTGCTCTGAAAGCTGCATGCATGTTTGGGATTTACAGTATGTAATAAACCATTGAGCAATGTTGTTTATGTGAATTTATAGTGCTGCTTTGTTTTGTCTGCAAGAGTTGCACTAGCCATTTTTAGCTGTAGGGGGCACTAGATGTTCAGAAAAGAATACTGAGAAAGCATTTGAACCAGGAAATGAAGTTGCAGATTGTTAGGCGGGTTTCTTCTACTATATCTGTGAATTTAAAACAGTAGGGAGATGATCTGAGGTTTATGTTAAAATAGGAAAGCAGATCTTCTCTGTTTAAAGCCTTACAGCTTTTATTTTGGCTTGACTTAAAATGGAAGTTTATTGGAAAGTGTAGAAATTGTCAGTTTGTTTTAAAAATTCAAAAACTGGAAATGTCATTATAAATATTAGAATTAGAGTTAAGTGTTAAGTCTATTTTTTCTTTCTTTATCGCTGCATTTTGATAATTTAATAAACACTTTTTACTAGATAGTAATACCCTGATCTATACTTGTTAATCAATAGGCATTATTTTATTTCTATTGTTTGAATCTTTGATGATGGGAGGAGGCACAAATCAATGTTCAAATCATCCATCTATAGTTCCCCATGAACAGCGCTGATAATATTTTATTAGAAATCTGGATGGGTCCATTTCTGATATATATGTATATATTTTATTTTTTTCAGTGATTTCATTGACATTTCTTTGGATGCATAATAAAACCCACAATCAACCCGCCTGGAAAATTCAGATGTACTTTTTTTTTTTTTCTCCATACAGTAAGGAAGTTGTAGTCGGGCCTTTTGAAAAACTTAATAAGCGGAAGCGGAAGTTCAACTGAATAAACTCATTACTTCGCCTCATCCGACACAAGCTAATCAGCGTTGAATCATACCTCCACAAAAGCTCAATCAGCATCAAGAGTTCATCTTAAAAGGTCTCCAATCCAAAACTCCATCTGATACCCAAAGCGCAGGCAGTGGTTGCGCTATGGCTGACTTCGATTCAGATGACTCAGATTCAACCCACTTCCACCATCGTAGCTAAAGCTTCATCAGAGTGTCATTACTCCCGGAGTCTTACTATGTTCTCTGTCTCATGTTGAGCCTGGTTCTGCCAGAGGTTTCTTTCCAATGGGGAGTTTTTCCTCTCCACTGTCACTTCATGCTTGCTCATCATGGCCTCATGCTTGCTCATCATGGGGAATATTTTCCCCAAGCGTGAAGGGGGAATTCATCCCTAATGTTTACTCCTGTTTATGCATATCAAAAAAATTCAGCTCTAATGTTTCCCGCTGAGGTCAGAGTGCCAAAGACTAAAGTGATTGTATCAAAACAAATTCCTCTAATTGCCTTTTCTTTGCTCGTTTGAGTTTTTCAGATCGAATTACTTCCTGTCAGCCGCATTCTACATTCAGGGTTTATGGAGAGATTTCTTCTGCTTTGGAGAAATTTAAAATTTTGCAATTTACTAATTGAATAAATTTAATGAATGTATATAACTTATATTGCTTTGTAATCCTTCTCTCCCATATATTAATAGCATAACTATTTCTATTATTTAAAAAATTTAGACTTGGTTTATGACGTTAACAACGGTCTTTACCAAGTAGCTGATTATAAAATTTTACTAATACTCATAAGGGTCTGTGGGATCTTTAATCCTGTTTTTCTGGGTACTGTCATTGTTTATTAGAACTGCAGTTGGACGTTCAGAGTGCAATTAATTCAGCCAGATGAATAAATCAAGGTTCAGCTCAGAATTTTATTGTCTTGCCACAATAACATGAGAAACTACTTTTTACGAGGCATGCACACAGATAATGTTCATACGGATAAAATTTACTACACTATGTTGCTAAACTGTAACTCCATGGTAAGAAACTTTTTTTCCCCAATCACAGTGTGTGTGATTCACATTTCTCTCGCTTTGTTCCACAGAAGCTCAGGGTCCAATGGAAGTCTGGTGGATGTTTTTCAGAGACTAAACCTTTGTGTTTTGTTCCTTAACATGAGCACAACACTAGACAATTTTCATTTTTATGTACAGACATTCTAATACTGCGTTATGGCAATGAGACGGCTCACACAACACATTTACATTCACAGCCCAGTCATTAGTTAGCGAGTTTCAGTCAGAACTCCAGAGATGAGCGTAATAGAGGCAAGAGCAGGAAGAAAACATTATTCGCACATTGAACCTGATAAAAAAAGCAACTTTTCTCAACTACATGTAAATGTAAAAAAAAAAAAAAAAAAAAAAAAAACTTGTTTTAAAGAGGTTGAATTTGTATATTGCCTTGAAATTAAACAGGATATGGCGTTTCTCCCATAAACCCCTGCTGTGGGCATTGCTTTGATTCACACATACAGTACATTAGCTTGGCTTATTCAAACACATAAGTTGCCACCCTCATCAATGGAAACTTAACATGATATTTCAGATCTAATTGTGCCTTAGCCACCATTGTGGTCTGTCATCATCGCTGGAACATTTACAGTGCAGAAGTGGTTTTAGCAGCAGCTGCCTTCCCTTGTAAAATGAGCAAAGTGTGTATCTACATGAGAAATAAATTAACAGCAAAAGCTTACAAAAAAAGTTTAAGACGTTATATTGCATTATATGGATTAAAAAAACAAACAAAAAACTGGGACATATTCAAGCGTTAACTCTATCCAAACTGTTTAACTGAAGGAACCAAAAAGTTATCAAGGACAGGACAAATAAATTAACAACAGTCAAAACATATGCACATGCTTCCTCTTCAGCTGGTCAGAAGGATGAAACATCTTACATCAAATAGCAGTTGCAAATAGCACAGACATGTGAAAAAGGATGAAATAACTTCAACCCAAAAAGGTCAAAACAAAACAAAAATCTGTGGGGAGGCATGGTCGTCCTCCTGGTGGCTAAATCTGCTAGTAGTTTTGGGCTGCAGGATAAATGCCCTCCTTCCTGTCCACCTTATGAATCCCAGCTGCTTATATATACATGGGTGTCTCCTGTCCAGTTAGAAGCCTGAACATGGCCGCCGGCATGGTCTTCATGTGGATCTGGATGGAGAAGAAAGCAGCAAAGATTCAAAGATACCATAACAACAGAAAACATTACTGTTACATGTACTTAAAGGATGCAACTAATTTCTCCAATCAATTTCCAGTTCTGATAGTTTGGTACCTGACTGAGTACAAAGGTTTTGAAATGACACTAATCAATTAGCAGCCACCATGCATTACAGTTTTTTTTTAACTCCTTTTCAATCAATGGTTTAAAACATATTTTTATGATGGATATTTATGTCTGCAGTAAATCACCATTTACAGCCGGTAGCTTAAGAGTTATTTTGGTGTGGGATCATATTAAGATAGATTCACTTAGATTATTTCCTTTGGTGCAAATAGGGATCAGAATTCAATATAATAGAAATGTTCAAATAACTTAAATTAATTCAATTAAAGGTAAAGTGGAGGATTTTTAAAAAAAATATCCGCCCTCTCCACTTTAAATAAAAAAATGCACATGCACAACCCTGTACCCGCTCCTGAGAGGGAACACAAACGTGTGCGAGAGCATGCAGGAGCCCATTTCCCCTTCTGTTTAAAAGTTGCTGTTTATATCACTCATACAAACTTACTTTCCAAAAGCAATTTTTCCACTATGTCAGACTCACCACCGATTAGTGAAAATTGGGACAAGTACGTAGGATGTAAACATCTTACCAGAATGATTGACATTTAGGAGGACCACTTATTTAATTGATCCACCGGGAAAAACATCATCCTCCACTTTTTCATGATCATTTACCTCTGGAACTACTTTACAAACTGAAACTGAGATGCAACAATGGTCACAGGCATACCTTAAGGAACATTTAGGACTTTTGATATCTTTTTTTGCCATTATTATATTTTTGTGGAAACTAGTAACTTTTCTGCATATTTTGCACTATTTCTTGAACCAGCTTTGTTCCTTGATTATAATGAAACTTTACCATCAGCAGTCCAGGAATTTGATTTACTCTATTTCAAGTATAAGTCATTGGTTGCATTCATAAACTCCCTTTTGAGTTCATGATCATGTAATGAACTTTCATGAAAATTTCATGGCACTTTTTGATGTCATGAAGTGTTTGAAACACATTTTGGACATCACTTTTTGATGTCCAAAAAAAAAAAAAATCAAATTTTTTGGACATCAACATTCAGTGATGATGGCATTTACTGAATTTTGGATTAAGTGTTGTATTTAAGTTAGATTGTATCTATTTTATTTTGATTATATTTTGTTTTTTTTTCAAGTATTTTAACTAAAAAGACGTCAAAACATTTCAAAGGGGGTTGAATAATATTAGGTCGAACTGTGGATGTAGGGTCTACTGAAGTTATTATTTTTCTACTCTTTGTTTATATCCTGAAAATGAATATTTTTCATGAAATCATTAGTAAATTACATAGAAAATCTTACTGGCAGAATCAAAAGGAGCTTTCGGTGAGTTTTGAAATCAGAGAAATCTAAATTCTCATCTCTTTCTTTTGTTAGAAATATAAATATTCATTTAAAATGTTGCTTTTTAGGGATTGTGGCCCTTTTTACCCCCAGTATTATGTCTGTATTCCATATTTCTTATATACACAGCCTGTTTACAACATATTTGACTACAAATAGGCATAGTATCTGCTAAAATGACACTGAATTTGTAATACATTTTAAATGGTTATATGGAAGTTAAAATCCTTCTGTGTCTGTGTGTGTAAAGGTTTAACCTCGCCAACAGAGTTGGAGAGCGCCTGAACAATCTTCTCATGTGCTGTAGCCACCACGCTCTGGCCGTTGATCTCTATAATCCTGTGACCCACGCGGACACCGCCTCGCTCAGCGATGCCACCCCGCATCAGGCTGCATATCTGCAGGGTAGAACATACACAGAACCTTCACCATAGGTAAATAAAGTCACATAAAGGAGAAACAGAACAATCTACGAAGAAGCAGATTGTCTTTCCATAGCATATCAAATAAAAAAAGTGAGATTGGAAAAGCAGTACGGATTCATCCTCTGTAGTATAAATGTGTGCATAGTGTAAGCATTTTGTCTGCAGGGGGAAAAACTCAAACAATATAATTATTAAACAACTTACGATGCCATTCTGGACGCTGAAACCCAGCTGATACTTCAGATCAGGTCTCTTAATGAGAACTGTGGTAACCGGAGGGCAGCTGACGATGTTCATTTTTACCTGAACCTGGTTCTTTAAGCCCTTTAACAGAGAAGTGGACAAACATTAGAGCTTTTCTATGTACTTGAAGATTTTTATCCAGTCTAGTTATGAAAAGGTAAAATATTTAAGAAGTGTCTTGCACCTTAATGATTCCCTGACAGGTGGCAAGAGGCAACCCCACGAGGCTGGTGTTGTTAATGGACATGATCTGGTCTCCAATGCTGAGCTTGCCAGATCGAGCTGCTGGTGCACCATTCATCATGTTGGCTAAGATAACTGTTGGCAGGATGGAGCCCCAGCCCGACTCCACTATCACCACACCCAGGATCTCCCCTTTGCTTTTCTCCAGCACCAGCTGTGGAGAGACACTTCATTGGTCACTTTTTGGGCTTCATCTGCAACAGACCCGCCTCAAATTAGAACTACATCACTGAAGACCTGAGTGAGTTCAGAGAAACTGCAAAGGATTACAGGTTTATTAAAAATATCACAGCTGCCTGCTGGGTTTCTCTCCATCAAAATCTGTGGTA